AATTAAGATTTTTTTTTCTCATACCAATTTTTTTTTTTGTCATATCATTATTTTTGTCCATGTTAGCCATGTTATATTTTCACATGTGTTTAATACTTTGATATGTCATCATATTGTTGTGAGTTAAGAAGATACATCGCATGATTTTTAATGGAATGACCAAGTTGAGGTTAAATTGGTAAATAATAGGGACAAAGTTAGGGATTTTTTCAGTTTAAGAATTAAATTAGGGATCTGTACAATAGTTGAGGGACCAAAAAAAAGATTTAACCTATAATTAAACCCTTTTGATATATCATATTACATTCATATATATATATATAGTCATGTGAGTCTTATAGTGCAAAAATCAGATAATTATTATAAGATAATAGTAATATATATACCACGATAATGCAATAGATTTTTTCGTGATTGTTGATGTATGTATGCCAATATTTTAATAATATATATAAGGGTTTGGACTTTGGTGAGCATGAATTGATAACTGAAATGTGGGGTGGAAGTTGAATGGTGAGTGACATAAGTGAGGATAGTGTAAGGGCAAATAGGTCAAGATTGGTGATAGAGAAAAAAAAATGATTTTTAAGTTCTAGAAAGGCCACTCTCTTTGGCTAAATGAAGATCTACCATAGAGATAAAAGGCTTTCTAAAGCAAAATAATGGTAATGGAACTTGCACGTCATCAACCCATTGAAGGAGTTGGGAAGAGAGAATGAAAGAGAGAGAAAACAACCAAAGAGGTAACTAAAATTTTCCCTATTGTGATAAAAAAAGGCTTTCAAACATCAAAGTAGAGTCAACAATTAAAGTATCGAGTATTATTTATTATTTATTTTATATTTTTTATATAAAATTTTTTTATTATTATTGTTATTTTAATTTTGATTTGCATAATAAAAAATAACTTTCTTTCATTTGTTTAACTACCCACCTACATGCTTACAATTTGAACCTAATATTTCTTATTTCAATTGGAGGAAAAATTATTATTAAATCACTTAAGTTTTTAACAAAAATTTTTTTATTTTAAATCTTTAAAAATCTTTTAATTTTAATATCAACTATTTGTCTTCTCCTTATATGAATTTAGGATGTTCAACTTACAAAGAAGAAAAATCATCAAATGGCCTCTGCCATTGATCCTCATCTCAATTACTTTACCATATATTATCTATTGAATAACCTTTAAATGATAGCCTCAAAAGCTTACTTAATGGGGAATAAGTATCCTTGGGAATCCAAAAATACCTATAAATGATACATTTACCTTACTAAGGGCATGTTTGGTGTGGCTCCTAGGAGTTTCAGTTTCTGGCCACTATTAATGTTTCATGAATTTAAATTTTCCTCTTAAAAACTTATACTTTTAAATATTTTTTTAATCTCAAAAAGCTCTTAAACAGTAAAAGTTCGAAAGTTTCAAATCCAAACTTTTCATAAACTCTTTTTTTACTTACTTTCACTCATTTTTTCAGCTTTCTAAAAGTTAAAACTCTATTTTTCCCTCCAATAAAAATTTAAATTTATCACACATAACAATATTCAAAAAACAAAAACTCTCACAAGTCACACCAAATAGGCTCTAAGTGGTCAAATTTTATTAGTGGAATAAAATGCACAAAAACAAAAGAAAACCCAAAAAATCCCTAAAACCCCACCTCTGTGGATAGATAGGGAATTGAATTATTTGGTTGAAGTGTGCTCCTTTTGGGGAGCAAATATGTATGGGCCCTTAATTTCTCAGCCAATCTAAATGTCAATCCCCAAGATAAAAATTTGTGTCTACCCATTTCACTCAATGCTAACACCATTTTTTTTTTTTTTTTTTTTTTTGTTTTCATCAAGAAATGCTTCAATTCAAGAATAAGCAAAAGGAAACGAAAAGATAAAGCAACAAAGCCAGGAAAAAAAAAAAAAAGAGGAGAAAAGGGCTTTTTCTTTTTTCTCTTTTCAAAATTTCTTCTTTAAATAAATAATAATAATAATAATAATAAATACTATAATTTTTGGTTATTATAAGGATAACTAACAGGACTGGACATTTGTAGTCTCTGAAATTTCTACTCCCTCTCTCTCTCTGGAAAGAGCTTCTCTTTCTAAATATGGCACACAGACTCTTCTTGACAGAGACAGAAATAGAATAATATTGGAATTCTATACAAAGTGGCAGTTTTGAGTTTTCAACCGGAGGTTTAACCTCATCTTATCTCTGAATACAGATTATGCACTAGGGCATGAAAGTCTTCAGGGGACTTGACTTTGAGTCGTCCATCCCAGCTCCACCATTGCTTCTCGGTGAGTTCTAGCATTATCCATCCTCTGGGTTATTCAAAGATCATTTATTTTCAGTGGGTTTTGTTAAATTTCTCAACTTGGTGCTATAATATAATCCTTTCCTCTTCTTTTTTGCTTAATTTATGTCAGTTTTCATTCTACTGATTGACTCCTAAACAATCAGTTTGAGTTTTTGCTTTATTTCAATGTGTTAGCGCTTTTGATTCTTCCCCATGAACTGGGTATCTATTTTAGCTTTGTATCTCTCTATCTCCAGCGTTCGAGATACCCTTTTTCCTCTGTTCTCTTTGGAGTTTTTATCTGCTATCTCAGAATGGAGAAGATGTTATCCTTGTTCTATCTGAGATTTATTTGCCTAGACATCCTTATTAAATATATTTCTCTCCTCTAATTGGATGTGATGAATGCTGTGCTTCTCATTCTGCATATACTTTTGGTGACTGTTCATGTATTAAATGGTAATGAGATGCTCTATAAAAGTATAGAAAATTATTATGTATTAACTTTCTATTTATCTGATGCATTAGAGGGCACAACAGATGCACCTTTTGTTTAGTTTTGTGCTTCTTTTTTTTTTTTCTCAGCTAATATTGTTTTGAATTTGGCTATATTTCTATTTTCTTGTCCCTTATGGAATAAATAGAGTTAATATTGTTTATTGATGTAAGTGCGTCTATTTTATTTTTGTTAAATGTTTAAAGGGCGGAGTACTCCTTGTACTCCGTTAATTTAATTTTGATTCATTAAATTTTTTTTTATTTTGTTGTCTTTTTTTTTTTTCTCTTCTATTTTTCTTTTTTGTTTAAGTGCTAAATGTTGCAATGAGTGAGTACAATTTGTGGTCTGGGTTTACATTTTGTTTCTGTTTCTTAACTTGGCTCAATTATAAATATGGTTATGAAAGAATTTGAATTGGTATTGTTTAGGAGAGCTGAAAGATGGACAGGGCAAGACTGGATTTAAGGTTCCATCACTCAGGATCAATACAATCTGAGGAATCTGCTCTGGATTTGGAAAGAAATTGCTGCAATCATCCTAACCTCCCTTCATCAAGTCCTTCATCTCTTCAACCCTTTGCATCAGGTGGTCAGCTTTCAGAGAGTAATGCTCCCTTCTTCTCATGGCCAACCTCAAGTCGATTAATTGATGCAGCAGAAGTTAGGGCCGACTATTTTGGTAACCTACAAAAAAATGTTTTGCCGGAAACTTTGGGGAGGCCATCAGGGCAGCAAGCTACTACCTTGCTTGAGTTGATGACCATTAGGGCATTTCACAGCAAAATATTGCGTCGATTCAGTCTTGGTACGGCAATTGGGTTCAGAATTCGGCAAGGTGTTTTGACAGATATACCAGCTATTCTTGTCTTTGTTGCCAGGAAAGTTCACAGGCAATGGCTAAGCCGTTTCCAATGTTTGCCATCTGCCCTTGAGGTGAAATGTTTGGCTTTCCTGTTGTTTTTAATGGATGTCTTGGTGTTTAATATGTTGGTATTATATAATTCCCAAGATTGCAGTGGAAATACTAAAATATCAATTAAAAGATGTTTTGATGCAAAATCTGAATGGTAATAATTATAGGCGGTTGAAACAGTTAGAGTTTCTTCTAAAGGAAATAATATGTTGAACTACACAAGATCCTCCTTCAAATTCATGACTGAGCTATCTTAAATTGACTTATGTTATGTTGAAAGTTAAATATCTCTCTAATATATGTGGCAGGGACCAGGAGGTGTTTGGTGTGATGTAGATGTTGTGGAATTCTCATATTATGGCGCACCTGCACCAACTCCTAAGGAACAATTATATACTGAGCTTGTAGATGGTTTGAGGGGAAGTGATCAATCCATTGGTTCAGGTTCACAGGTAATTCTTCTCTTTGACAATATTGTTATTTCATATGGTTGTTAAATGATGAGGGAAGAAAGGTGTTACATGTGAATTTTAGATTTCTTGTAATTTGAATGAAAGCAAATGCAACTAAACAGGTGTTGTCAGTAAGGAACATAGGGATTTGTTATTTGAAAGTATGAGTTTAACTGTAAATGTTTTCCTTGTAAATAGCTTTTTAATCCAATGGTGGTTAGTTTGGTATTTGTTAGGCATTACTACATTTGCATTGCCTTCTGTATAGGTAATACACAACTTCCCATTCTTTTTTAAACCATGAAATTCTTTATTTTTTAGGGAATTGTTTTATGCTTTCCTTTCTTCTTTATACTCTACATTGAACCTTGACTGACTGATGAGATTCTTCTAGATAGCTGGTTACTTGCCCTCATTTTCATTATTAAATCCACTCATTTCCTTCTCACTTGTGTAGGTTGCTAGCCAAGAGACATATGGAACACTTGGTGCTATTGTGAAAAGCCGAACAGGTAATCGGCAAGTCGGTTTCCTCACAAATCGCCATGTTGCAGTTGATTTGGATTACCCAAATCAGAAGATGTTTCATCCTTTACCACCCAGCCTAGGCCCTGGAGTATACCTGGGTGCCGTGGAGAGGGCAACATCATTTATTACAGATGACTTTTGGTATGGCATCTTTGCTGGCACAAACCCAGGTAATGCAGTTCCAAATTTTAGTTGTCCATTCCGAAAGGAAACTGTTTGATCATCGATTCAGAAAATGTTATTAATGACAAATTTATGAAAACCTAAACAAGATTCAGATCAAGAGATTAAGGTTATAGTTTTATTTTAGTAAAAGATGTATAGGGCTCCAAGTTCCAATTGTATAATTTGAATTTAACTTAGGAAAAAGATTCAATGATTAGTTTGACAGTATTCGTAGCAGAACCATTTGATTTACACCAGGAGCAGATGTGTGTCTCTCATTAGTGTTTACAGAGTGAATATTTCTTGATTAAGTTTGAGTGTTTTTCATAGGTGACTAATTTGTGTGCTTTGCAAGCAGAAAAAACGATCACGTCAGGAAATATTTCTGCTTTATTCATTTATGTAAACTGGGTTGGACTTATTTGATGCTGTTAAATATTAATCATGTAAACATTTTGAGGCAAGACTTCTCCTTCCAGACTCATCTGACTTCAGATTGCAGATTGCTCTTTTTCCTGTGGATCACTGAATTACTGCTCGCTGTAGCTTATTTAAGCTTAGTTGATGTTGAGGAGAATTCTTTCTTGGTTTTCCTTTCATAGCTATCTCTTGCATGTTTGAAAGAATGTTGAAGTGTGATTATTTTCATTTTGCATACATGGTAATGGGTTTCTCATTGCGTCTTGACCGCCACACATGCCCATTTCGGTTTGGTGCCCCTGCAGAAACATTTGTTCGAGCAGATGGTGCCTTCATTCCTTTTGCTGAAGATTTTGATATGAGCAATGTAACTACTTGTGTAAAAGGTGTGGGTCAGATAGGTGATGTTCATAACATAGACTTGCAATCTCCAATTAGCAGTCTCATTGGAAGGCAAGTAGTTAAAGTAGGGAGAAGCTCTGGCTTGACTACTGGGACCATAATGGCTTACGCTCTGGAGTACAATGATGAGAAAGGGATTTGTTTTTTCACTGATTTTCTCGTTGTTGGCGAGAACCAGCAGACATTTGACCTTGAAGGCGATAGTGGAAGCCTTATTTTATTAACGGGTCAGGATGGGAGTGCACCACAGCCTGTTGGGATCATTTGGGGTGGAACAGCTAATAGAGGTCGATTGAAACTGAAAGTTGGCCAACCCCCTGAAAATTGGACAAGTGGAGTTGATCTTGGGCGCCTTCTTGATCTCCTTGAGCTTGATCTCATTACAACCAATGATGGGCTTCAAGGTTTGTGCTTCTGAGTTAAAAAAGATTAATTTTATTTGGGTTTATAGTCTCTCTGGTTGCTAATATATCATTGTGATTCTTTTGAATAATTATCGAGTGAGATGACTTCATGAATCAAACTGCAATATTGAACTAAAAGTGTCAGGCATTAAAAGAAGAAATAGTTTGCAGGGTTTTATAGGTAATAAAAAAATAGATGGATGACAGCAATCGGTAAAAGGTCAAAGAGATATATTCACCTAGATGTTAAATATCTCATCCTTTTAGGCAGAAATCTTTTTGTGCAGATATATTCAAAAAATGTAGAAAGAGAAATGGTCAAAGAGATGCTTTGTTTATCTTTATAATTAATATTACTTCATATGTTTTCTAATTCCCCTGTTATACATTTCTGTCCATCTTGTTGCTATAGC